CACGCTACCACGGCCAAAACCACCTATTTACAGTATTATTCAGTAACGTGTAACTTAAAAAAGCATGAACCTCCTAAAAATAAGTTGCACTAACCTGATTCCCGCTCCAATCCTTCTCTTTCCTTAAGCTTCTGCGAAGTCCAACCTAGCATAGTTGGAAAAGTTCTAGGCACTACTCTCATTCGGAAGACAACCCTATCAACATAAAACATCTAAAAAGACAAAAAATTAGTATAACACAGACGACTCTGTAAAATATATACCGCGAACTAGTGTGTTGGAACTTATAAAGTTTATGTTAAGGAAAATGAATACATACAATTAAGAACAAAACAGGCCCAGTAAAATAAGGATTTGACTTTCGCTTCCATTGAATGGTAGAATTAATTAAACTGGTCAACGTATACTTGCACCAGTTTAATTTATTCACGTTACTCAAATTGACTAAGGAGCGCAAAACTCTTGAATTTGCAAATGTATTTGTGTTTCCGGATATGCAGGTAGAGATGAAGAACACCATAAAATTGAGCTTAAATCCTTCACTTGACCCCGCCATTCCTAAAATTCTATCGGGCATAGCATTGGTATGTGGAAAATCCCTCTGTAAACCCCACTCATCTCTCCACTTAAGGACCAAAGTCTTATAATCCTCAGGGTCTGTTGGCTTGTTTTGAGCTTCTAGCACATCAAATGGCCCGGTCGGGAGGCCAAGGGTTAGATGGACATCCTTTTCTGTGATTCTAACCCGCTCATTTAAAATATTAAGTGAACAGCTATCTGGGTCAAAGTTTTGAACAAGCCATTTTGAAAGCTTTACCGGTAGAACTGACGCTTCAAGACCAAAAAGGGAATGAAAACCCACCTCTTCAACAGCTTTTTTTGCTCACTATTTAACCTCTGCAAGAGGTTAAAAAGGCCGTTCGGAGACATACGAGTCTTATAGTCTTTGTCATCAACTATACTTTCTAAAATAGTCGCAACATCTCATTTTGGCCTATTAATGATTGCATTGGGGACAAGGGCAGTGGGTGACTGTTCTAAACATAAAAGACGTGGACTTTTCCTAAGAACTATGGAAGTTGATGGAGCTGCAGGTGTGCAAGGTTCAGCAGTGTGCTCTTCCACAGCAAACTCAGCTTGTTTCCTTAAAAAAACAAGAACACAAAAAACATAAGTTTAAAATTTTAGGTTAATAAATTTAAAGTGATGTGTGTTTGAGAAAGATAAGAACCAACCTTTTTTTTCCATGATTTTTTTTCCCACCTTCAACTTCCATGCTTTCAGATGCTATTAAATTACCTAAAGAATAAGGTCACTACATGAAAAGTCCAGAATACAAACTCACTCAAATTTCCTCTAAGCCTAACAGCACAAAAGCCCAATATTAAAGTACTTGAGCAGTGAACATCCTAACATATATAAAAATTCAACCAAACCAGAGCTCAAATGAACCAAAACATGGCTCAAATTGAAGAGAAATGTATTAGAAACAAAACTAAACAAAACCAGCCAATCAAAAAAATAAAAAGAGATATTAAGAAACATGAAAATCATGGACAGATAAATCTGAATTCAGAATAAGAATCACCACAAAAAATGCACAGAACAATAGCATGAAAAATTTAGAGAAGGGGGGGCAATACAACACAGCTTTGGTGACAAAATTCCCATCTCAGCAATGGCTTTTTGGATCCAACCGTGCAACTATAAAGATAATATTCAAAGATGATACAGAAGTAGCTTCAGCAGGGGGGAGAAAAAAATACCTTTAGTAGTGGCGCCACTAAACCTAGAGAGAAAATCCAAAACCAAAGAGAATATGCTGCGAAGTAGCTGGCGATGGCGATTGAGAGTGATTAAGGTTTATTTAGGTTGAGGGAGAAAGATGAAGCTGGGAAAGAAGAGAAATTGATGGCGATTGGGAGCGAAGGAAATGTACGAAGAAGAAAGAAGACTGGGCGAAGCGACGAAGAAGAAAGAAGTCTGGGCCAAGAAGAAAGAAGTCTGGGCCAAGGAGAGCGGGAAAAAAAAGACCAGAAGCGCGCGTGTCATCTGATGGGAACCGTCATCTTACCGAAACTCGTCATCTAACCGGAGTCAATCCATATATATATATATATATATATATATATATATATATATATATATATATATATATATATATATATATATATATATATATATATATATATATATATATATATATATATATATATATATATATATATATATATATATATATATATATATATATATATATATATATATATATATATATATATATATTAAAGATGTTTGAACCACAGGTTCGACCAGTGAACCAGTGCCTTGACCGGTTCTATGACCGGTTCGGTTCAGAAAACTATGCATACGAGTACTATTGGTTGGTATTTATTTTAATTTAATCTTGTTTATTACTCCCTCCGTCCCATTTTATAACGCCTGTTTCGGTTTACGATGTTTGACTGAAGTTATTTTCAAATAATTTTATATGAAAAATGGTATAGAGTTAAAAAATAAAAATTATATATCAAGATACTACATCAAAAGATTTACAAAATTAGTAGTGACAACGATATTTTATTTTATCAAATTGCTAACGAAAATAGAGAAAGAAAGTGAATGAAGTTTTACCTTGTGAATAGTGAACATGCATTATAATGTGGGACGGAGGGAGTAGTAATTATATTAACTACTAATTTCTCAAATGCAGTGGGATGGGGGAGTATAATATTGGATGGGAGTACTCTATTAGTCTATTCTTTTACGCCTCTAGTGATGTAGTGGCATTGAATTTTTGAAAAAATTACTCACCTTGTTCCGATTTAGATGACGATTGTTTTGTTTTCCTTAACTTGACATTAGTTTATTTTTCATATTCAATAAAGAGATAGGACCCTGCTATAGTGCACCCACCCCTACCTCCTTTGTTGCCTCCTTATTTAAGCTTTTTTTAAATCTTTTCTCATTTTTTAAGAAAAAAGAAAGGAGATGCTGAGACAAGGGTCAGGGAGTGGGGTGGGGGGAAGCGGCCAGACAAGAGCAGCCGATCAATGGGAAGTGGCAGCTGGAGAGGAATCGGCGGCTGGGTCGGAGAAAGAAGCGCCGGCTGATCGGTGGTGGTGGTGGCCGATGGGGGGAGAGCGTTGTCGCCTTGGTGGGGTCGGGGGAGGGCCATAGCCCCAAGTCAGTACACAATCCAGTCCCAACCCAGCCCCCACAGTTTTTGGTGATTATGGACTTACAAGCATGTATTGTTACACATGTTGAGAATGATCAACCACATGATTTTGGTGGTGAAGAAGAAGACCTGATTTTATATGACTTTCAGGTCAGTTGTAAGTGTTGATATTTAGATCCCATTCTATATTCATTTGAAGTAGTGAAAAAATATTGTTTTGTTTTGGTCTTACAAAGATTAAAGTTCTGTGAACCTAAGGTTTGTCCTTGTCACAGATGCTAATAATCTGTTTGCACTCTGCATTTGGTGTATTTTTATTTTTTTCATAGTTAGACATTGTATTATATTAAAGGTGCTGTTTTTTGCAGCTTTTGAACCAGATTTGTTTCTTAACGATCCTTGCTTTCAATATTTATTTAACGATGAAGGGCAAGAACAGGCGAGTGGTGAGATCGGACAGAACACAGATGTGAAGTGTTCCATGCACATAAACTGATGTTAACCTGATGTAACTATGTCTTCACATACATTAAGTCGCTGTGAAGTGTGTGAAATAGACAGTTATTACATGTGAGCTCGCTGAAATCTAATGTATGCGTTTTAAGTTTCTTTTTACCTTTACAAGACCCCAACATATGTGATAAGATTCTGAAGATGGTGTGTGTACATACAGTTATGTAACTCTGTCGTCACATACATTAAATAGCTGTGAAATGGGTAAAATAGACAGTTACTCTCTGTGAGGGCTCTAAAAGTAAAAGAACGTAAATCAGTCATAAACTAATGTAAATGAGTCATAACATACATTAACACATTGTGCATTAACAAGTACAAATTCATGATTATACAAGCCCCATTACAAAGCTTTCAAAAAAAAATCTAAAGTGTTTCCCCCAAAAATACATTACAAAGCACATAAACCATTACAAAGAGTTTCACAAAAATTAAAGACCCCTAAAATTGTAAAGTAAAAATGCTAAATATTGGGTGTGTTCCTTCCACGCCATAACCTAGCTGCAAATTGACATCAGAAATCAGCCATGTGTTCATAACTGCAGTCCGGGCTTAATGGTAAGCCCACCAAAAAATACTCTAGAAATGCAAGCACCATCACTCCACAATTGTCACACCTGCAAGGGAATGAACCAGAATTCATCGTCTGGTTGATGGCTTCACGGATGTCAGAACAAACTGAGTATTGAGCTCCAAAATGAGCACTAACATGGATTAACAAAGACATCATTTGAAATGAAGTTCAATTAACAGAAGTTAAATATCTACACAGACAATAATCTTATATGAAGTTCAATAAAGAGAAGTTAATCATCTATGAGATACAATTCACAGAAAGCAAGCAAAAATAACAAGCAGATCTCTTTCACAGACAATAATGTTATATGAAGTTCCAATAACAGAACTTAACCATCTATGTCATACAATTCACACAGTAAGCAAAAATGACAAGCATTCAAAGAAACTGGGAATAACTAATTTCAATGAAAAAGAACATCAAACTGAAACTGCATTATGGAGATTTGAAATTACACAAACATACCATTATCAAATCCACAACTACATTAACACACAGTTTAAAAACACCAAGAAAACTGAAATTATCAGTAGAGAGATTAAGAAAGAGACCAAGGAAAGGGAAATTAGCATCAGTACCTGTTCCGGTAGGGGTGGGGCTGCCGGCGCTGGAGCTGGAGGGGTTCCCGGGCTGCCGACGCTAGAGCTGGAGGGGTGGGGCTGCCGGAGATGGAGCTGGAGGGCTGGACTACCGCGCGTAATCCCACTCGTAGATGCCGGATTCGAGACTGGATTGCCGCAGACCTGCGCTGGAGAAGGGAGATTTGGGAATTTTAGGGGAGGGAGACGAAAAAACTAAGAAAAAAGGAAAATTGAAAAAAAAATAAAAGTTAAATATATTGGGTGGCATGCTTGGAGGCACAAGTGGTGCCTTTTTAGCATTTTCCAAAGAGATATTTTTAAGTGTCCAGGTGTTTGTGCATGTGTGTTTGGGGAGCAAAACAACCATAGGTTTTAATATCTCGGATATTAAGTTTTATTTAAAAAAAATTTGGAGAAGATAAAAAGGCGTGTTTGGTGAATTTTAGAGATATGATAAGATATCTACGTTGAAATTTGAAAAACTGATAAAAGTTTTGAATTTTGAAACAAAAGTGTTTGGTGAAAATAGAACTGAAACCAAACTAGAATACGACAAATTTTTCCGTGGAACTAAGTTCCATGCCTATTTTGTATGATTGCTTATTAGTATTTACGAAAAAAATTTTCTTTTTTCTTTCCCCCTCTTTTTTCTTTATCGTTTTTTGCACGGTCTTTTTATCTCTTTTTCTCCATCCAGATCACCACTGTTTTTATTCTTCTCCAATCTTTCTTATTTCTGCTTCTCCTTTTTCTCCTCCTTCTTCACTAGTGCAGATCTGCATATTCTTTTCCTTTTTCTTTTCTCTCATCCTTTTTCTTCCTTTATTTTTTGTTCTTTTTCTCTCCTCTTCCTCCCCCCTTCTTCGTCCCCACCTTCTTTCTCCTCTATCTTTTCGATCTATCTTCTTCTTCTTCACTTCCTTTCTCTCGCTTCATTTTTATAGATCTGTCCGCCGGCGTTCCCTTCCCCGTGACGATTCTGAGACATCACCACCATCCGAGCCCCTGGTGCCATTCTCGTATTTAATTTTCGACCCTAGGTCGGCGCCACCATCCTAGCCACAACAACAATGACTCTGGCGACCGATGTTGTTGCAGTCTGACTTTGATCTTGTGAATGTACATGGATGGGTGAGACTTTGGTGTATCGGATTGGACGGCTTGTGGCCACTGGCGGATGTACATTCAAAGGAATGGGGGCACTTGCCCCCAGTGATTTCCAAAAAAATGTTTACTTGTTATAAAATGAGAGAAAAACTACTCAGAGATTAGGAAGATAAATATGATATATTTCTGATTTCTTCTCTCTATTGATTCTTCACTCTTTTTATTGTTCTTAATTGTAATTTACAGGGATCCTAAGCCTCTTATTTATAGTAGAGAGACTTAGTGCTAACACTATTACAAATAGTATACATACTATACAAATGGCAACTTGATGGTGATGAATGATGATGGACAATTTGTTCCCGCAACTTATGATGGAGCATGACCTAATTAATTGATAAATGAACAATTCATATTTTTCTTAACACTCCCCCTTAAATGTTCATTTTTCAATTGATGATGGGTATTCGTGAAATGGGTATAGTTTAGAAACCCATTCTAATTTTATGTACTGCCTCGTTAAAAAAAACTTTGTCAGGAAAAACCCAGTGGGATAAAAACCTGATCAAGGGAAAAAGAGTACAGTTCATAAAATTCTCCCCTTCAGCTTAGAATAATTGACAGAGACGACGCATGCCAATCTTGTGTACGAGTTCTTTAAATTTCTTTGGGGGCAATGCTTTTGTAAATAGATCAGCAGGGTTCTCGCTCGACTTGATTTGCTTGATGTCAACCTTTCCATCTTTCTCGAGATCATGTGTTGAGAAGAACTTTGGTGATATATGTTTTGTTCGGTCTCCTTTGATGTAACCACCTTTCACTTGAGCAATGCATGCAGTGTTGTCTTCATATATAGGAGTTGGATGACTAGTAATTGTTTCTATACCGCACTCGCTCTGGATATGTTGGATCATTGATCGCAACCATACACATTCTCTACCTGTTTCGTAGAGAGCTATCAACTCCGCGTGATTTGATGATGTGGCAGTCAAAGTTTGTTTCATTGATCTCCATGATATTGCGGTATCTCCATAAGTAAACACATATCCTGTTTGAGATTTTGCTTTTTGCGGATCAGGCAAATATCCTGCATCAGCGTATCCAACAAGAGTGGCCTTGGCATCTTTGCGGTAGAATAAACCAAGGTCGATGGTACCATTGAGATATCGCAAAATGTGTTTAATGCCATTCCAATGCCTCCTAGTCGGGGTCGAGCTGTTTCTAGCTAACAAGTTCACTGAGAATGCAATATCTGGTCGAGTGTTGTGTGCTAGATACATCAAAGCTCCAATACGACTCAAGTATGGTATTTCTGGACCGAGTATTTCTTCATCATCTTCACGAGGTCGGAATGGATCATCATGTACATTGAGAGAGCGGACAACCATCGGGGATGTGAGAGGATGTGCTTTATCCATATAAAACCGCTTCAGAACCTTCTTCGTGTAATTTGAATGGTGGATGAATATTCCGTCTTTCAAATGGTCAATTTGAAGACCAAGACAGAATTTTGTTCTCCCAAGATCTTTCATCTCAAATTCTTTCATGAGATATTTTGCAGTATTTTCTATTTCATCAGAAGTTCCAATGATATTTAAATCATCAACATATACTGCAATAATGGCAAAGCCTGATTTAGATCTTCGGATGAAAACACATGGACTAATTGGATCATTTTTGTATCCCTCTCTGAGCAGATATTCACTGAGACGATTATACCACATTTTGCCAGATTGTTTTAGTCCATATAGTGACTTTTCCAATTTTATGGAAAACATCTCTCGAGGTTTTGAACTATAAACCTGAGGCATCTTTAGCCCTCCAGGAACTTTCATATATATGTCAGTATCGAGAGATCCATATAAATATGCTGTCACTACATCCATTAAACGCATTTGAAGTTTTTCAAAGACAGACATGCCTATCAAAAATCTCAACGTAGTTGCATCAACTACTGGGGAATAAGTTTCTTCATAATCTATCCCCAGAATTTGAGAAAAACCTTGGGCAACGAGTCGGGCTTTATATCTCACAATTTCATTTTTCTCATTGCGCTTACGCACAAAAACCCATTTGAAACCAACTGGTTTTGGCGTAGGTGTTGAAACACGGGCTTGCCACGTTTTCGTACTAAAGCCGTGTTCGTTTTTTGTAACAGGTTTTGATAATGCCAAACCGCCGTGATAAAGTCGAACATTGAATATACAAGGCGAAGAACGAAGATAAGAGCAAGAGCTAAACGAAGACCAAGAACGAAGACCTTAATCATAGTATTGAGTGGGTCTTTATTGTGATCAAGACCGACTCAATCTTTACACCTTGGCTCTTTAGGCTAAAATCTCTCATTGCATTTCTTACATCATAAAAACGTTTTTCAAATTTGTTTAAGTCATTAAAAACACTTGGTGTTCGCCCAAACCAAAAACCAAGCCATCCAGTGTTCGGCTTTCAGAAACCAGCGTTCGGCTTTCAGTTGTCGGGTTTGGTTTTTGGCATCCGAACAAACCAAGTGGTTTTCAGCATTTTATGATCTGCTTTCACTCTTTGGCATGTTTAAACGGTTCTCCAACAAAAACACTTTGAAAACCATCTCTCGCTTTTAGTCGTTTGACAAAAACCACGCAAAACGGCGTAAACTTGGCTAGCCGTGGTTTTTACTCAAATGACGTGATTTTTAAAGTGTCTCACTTGATTTCTTAGCCAAATACATCAAATAAGTGTTTTAAACACTTGGTTTTTATTTTGGAGAACTTTGGATTTTTCGGTCGGTTTTTGCATCGGTTGGCTAGGCCGTGGTTAAGGCAAAAACCATAGGTTTTTGGCTAACCACCCACCCAGCGATGGGAAGAACATCCCATCGATGGGTAAGTAGCCCCTTAGCCAAACCAA